CTGTCTCAGAAATGTAAGTAACAGGATCCTTCCGAGAAATTTTACCAGGTTTAGAAGACAGTGGCAATTTTTCTGATTTTTCTGATTTCTTTTTAGCATTTTTTACCTGCACTGTCTCCTCTGATTCTGAATCTACAAGAGAATAATTAAAATTATGAAAGGAAATATCAGTGTATTTTTAAGTGGTCATTATGAACCAATCCCCCAAGGAGCATCTCTTAATGAGTTTTTACATTACTTTTATCCAGTAATGAACTCATATATTAGATTCCTATTGCTGTTTTAACAATCACTACAAACTGAATGGCTTAAAACCCACACATGTGGGCTGGGGACATCGTTCAGTGGGTAAAGGTGCTTGTTGTCAAGCCTGATGACCTAAGTTCCGTAAAAGCCAACTGCCCCAAAGTACCTGTCCTACACACACACCTACACACACACACACACACAAAGAAGTTCAACACAAATACATATACATTGTTTTTAAAGATTTATTTATTATGTACACAGTGTTCTGTCTGCACGTATCCCTGCAGGCCAAAAGAGGGCACCAGATCTCATTACAGATGGTTGTGAGCCACCATGTGGTTGCTGGGAATTGAACTCAGGACCTTTGGAAGCAGTGCTCTTAACCTCTGAGCCATCTCTCCAGCCCCTCAACACAAATATATTATCTTTAACAATTCTGGGCAAAGTCTGATACGGGTCTTATGAGGACAACAACAGGGATATGGTCCTTTCCAGTTCCCTCGGGAAGAGTCATTTCCTTATCATTTCCACTTACAAGCGGCTGCCATCAATACACAGCTCTTAACCTCCATCTTCGAAGCTAAAAAACTGGGCATGATGGCCCTGGTCAGGAAGACTCAAAGTTCAGACTTGTCTGGGGTACAGGTTAAAGGCCAGCATGGGCAACCTTAGTAAGACCTTGTGTCACTAACTTTTAAAATATCTTTCAAAGAGCTCTGGATGTAGCTCAGGGGTAGAATGTCCGTGTGGCACGTGCACATGCACGGCCCTGTGTTCCACTCCTACACCACACACAGATAAATACCCTCAAGCAGAGTGCTACCGTCGCTCTGGTGTCTGACCTTCTTACACTCTTTGTTGGGGTGGGGGGAGAGGATGTCGAGAAAGGGTCTCTCGATGTTGTCCTGGAGCTCTCTCACTGGACCAAGGTGGCCTTGAACTCACAGGCCTGTCTCTGCCTCCAAGTGCCGGGGTTAAAGGAGTGTGCATTCTCACACTCTAATCTCCCTCCAGACCCTCCCTACTCCTCAGGCACACTGAACCCATCTTATTTTAAGGTCATCTGGACCAATCTGCAGCTTTATTTCCACAGAGTCTAGGAATTCGATTGTGGCTCTAAGGGAGACGTCACTCTCCTACTTGGCCAGACTACTGGATGCGGTGTGGAGCAAGGCAAAGCAGCCCGTTCACCAACTCTTGGCCCTCCCTCTGTCCACACATCTGAAAGCTCGGCCTCACCCTGCTTGGGTCAGTTTCTGATTCCGAGACAGGGTTTCACCATTAGCCCTGGCTGGCTGGAGATCCACCTGCATCTGCCTCCAGACTGCTGGGGTTACAGGTGTGTGTCACCATACCCTGCCCATACTGCTTTAAATTAGTGTTTAATTATTTCCAAAAGGAAACTCGGAGAATACAGGTACACATTTCCAATTTCCTTACGATAAAACACAGTAAATGCACTTAGTAAATATTCAAGTGCTCTGAAAAATGAGTCAGACCCTGCACTATCATGTGAAAGTTTCGACAACCTGCATGCTGTGACACACTGCGGCAGCCGCTACTGCAGAGGAGGCAGGCAAGCCCTTGAGCCTGGAGGTTCAGGCCCAGCCTGGGCAACAACGGTGGGGCCCAACTGAAATTACATATATATAAAATATCTATATAAAAATATTTAAAATATAAAATATGTTGTTTAAAGAATAAGGAACAAAATAAACCCAAAAATATTCATAATACTTCCTTGCATTATGCTTCCTTGGCTACTTTTTTTTTTTTTTTTTTTTTTTTTGGTGTTTCGAGACAGGGTTTCTCTGTGTAGCTTTGCACCTTTCCTGGATCTCACTCTGTAGACCAGGCTGGCCTGGAACTCACAGAGATCCGCCTGCCTCTGCCTCCCGAGTGCTGGGATTAAAGGCGTGCGCCCCCCCCGCCCAGCCTTTTTTTTTTTTTTTTTTTGGGCTACATTATTTTATATCCACTAGGCATAATGGCGCATACCTATAATTCCAGAATTTAGGAAGTGGAGGTAAGACTAGGAATTTAAGGTTGTCAATAGCTACATGGGGAATTCAAGGCCAACTTGGGCTACACAGAACCTTGACTCAAATAGGTCAGGAAAAAAAAACCAGATTAAAAAAAAAATTAAGTCAGGTGTGACGTGTGTGTGTGTGTGTGTGTGTGTGTGTGTGTGTGTGTTTTGCAGGGGACTGACCCAGGCCTGCAGTCCAGCTACTTAGGAGCCTAGGCAACATCACAACACCCTGTTTCAATAAATAAACAGGGCATAGGGGTAGGGCTCAGTGGTAGAGTGTTGCCTACCAGGCAGAGGGCCTCAGTTCAATCTCTGGCATCGCAAAATAAACAAATGAATAAATAAGACATATGCACAAAAAGTCCTGTTCCTCATCTCAAAACTATATTCAAAGAAAATCCTTCAAATTGTGTTTATTACTTTTTCAACAGAAATGGAATTATCAAATCTTCCTAGCATACACACAGAAAAAAAAATCAGTTTTAGATATTTGCTTTGGGGTGAGTAAGATGGTTCTGGCAAATAAAGACACCTACCACCAAGCCTGAGCCCTAAATTCAATCCCCAGGACTATACAGTGAAGAGAGAACCGACTCCTATAAGCTGTCCTCTGCCCTCTACTCGAACGCCTTGGTACACATGCCCACGTACACACGAATTAATTCATTAAATGGACCCAATATCTGCTTTAACAGCAGTGCTATATGGTGCTTTTTTTCTTTTTGTTTCTTTTTTAAAATAAATTCAACTTCTAAGAACCTGAGTTTGAAAAAAAATTAATGGGAATATTTTTTAAAATATGGGCTGAAACTTCAGATCAGTGGCAAAGCAATTACCTAGCATGAGTGTGGCCCTGAATCTGATCCCTGAGCTAAATAAATAAGTAAATAAGCCACACTCAAAGTAAATCTGAGACATGCTACATATTCTATCCCTCCCTAAACAAACCTTTAACACATTCAAATGTTTGGGTTCTGGTAAGTTCTTGAGCTCTCTTCACCCAGCACTTACTAATGACGTCAGATGTCAGTTTGGAAAGCACTGTTACCGGGGAAATGAAAGACGCTGAAGCCTTTGGAGGTCCTCAGGAAAGTTACCTGAGTCATAGATGATCCTCTTCCTCTTGTGCGGCTTTGGTTTGGAGACATCCTCTTTACTGGAGTTATTAGCCTGTAGACGGCAGGGTGCAATTAGAACAACTTAGCCCGGCATTCTCCTTAGACTCAGGTTCGTAGCTGTCAACCTTGTTTGCCCCCATGGAGACAGACATCCGTTGATACCTAGAGCCACTGTTTATCACAACGTGGGAGACGGGTTTCTTAGGACATCTAGTACATGAGAACCTTACTAGCATCCTCCAATGCAACAGTTATCTAGCCCAAAGGTCAGAATGCTCTTGCTGCACAGGACAAGACCAGAAGTGCACAGGAGGGAAGACTTACGGAAAAGCTATGCTATTATTCAGCTACATGGTCAGCACCAGTCCACAGATAAGAAAGAGTAAAAGAATGTTGTGGTGATATTTTGTTTGTGCTCTGACAAATAAAGCTTGCCTGCAGATCAGAGGGCAGAGCTAGCCACTAGTTAACCATAGAGGCCCGGCAATGGTGGCACACACCTTTAATACTAGCACTTGGAAGGAGGAACAGGACGTGATATGGCTGGGTGGAGAGAGGAATATAAGGCGAGTGGAGACAGGAGCTCGGCCCCTTTTTGCAGTCTGAGAAGTCACAGGTGAGAGATGACTTTGGCTAGCTCCTTCAGTTCTCTGATCTTTCAGCATTTACCCCTGTATCTGAATCCAGGTTTTTATTATGAGAACGATTAGAATCCGTGCTCCAGGATGTCAGACACCAAAGGGTCAAGATGTTTACTAGATCTTGAACGTCCCTGAATGCCTTGGTCTCCAAGGTGGTACAGACCCTTTAATAGGTAGAACCCAGTGGAAGGCCCTAAAGGGAAAGAGAACCCTATCCCTTCCTCTACTGGCCTTTCTCTTGGTCATGAGGAGACCGTTCACTCTACCACACATTCCCAGTGTGATGTGCTGTTTCCTGAGCAGACCCACAGCAATGAGCCAACAACAGACCACAGACTGGAAACCTCCAAGCCAAATGACCTTTCTCTTTATAAGTAAATGATCTCAGATACTATTTGTGATAGTAATGGAAAGGTGGCTAACACACAGGACAGGTGCTTCCTAAAAATGCAAGATAGAAACAGAAATAAGAGCTAGGCTGGCAGCCCGTCGCTGGCAAATGCATGCTGAAAAACTAAAGGCAAGCCAAAGGCTACCTGTATTTATAAACATCACATTTCTCACACACTCACATTTTCCCAAAATGCACAGAAAAAAAAAAGATCACTCAGAAGATAGAAATACCTATGTATTTCTGTCCATTAAAATAAAACTTCAAAAATATCAGAACACAGGCCGGGCGGTGGTGGCACATGCCTTTAATCCCAGCACTCAGGAGGCAGAGGCAGGCAGATCTCTGTGAGTTCGAGGCCAGCCTGGACTACCAAGTGAGTTTCAGGAAAAGGCGCAAAGCTACACAGAGAAACCCTGTCTCGAAAAACAAAACAAAACAAAAAAAAAAAAATCAGAACACAACTAACTTCAAAAACTAAGACAAATGAACCATAATTTACAGCTACAACCATGAGCTGGGTCAGGAAACAGAAGAAAAGGCAGCTACAGTAACTCTGAAGACAGATACCTGGAAAGAAAGTCTCCAATTCTTCCTATAAATCTGCCCAAACCTCCTGTGCTGTTTCTATAAAATAACTCCAGTACTTAGAGGGTCAGTGTATTAAAAGGCTAAATTAAAAGAACTAAACCAAGCCAGGCAGTGCTGGCACAAGCTTTTAAGCCCAGTATTTGGGAGGCAGAGGCAGGCGGATCTCCAAGTTAGAGGCCAGTCTGGGCTACAGAGTGAGTTCTAGGACAGCCAGGGCTATACAGAGAAACCTGTCTCAAAAACAAACAAACAAAAAAAAACCCACTAAACCAAGATTTCACCTGCTGCCCATCAAACCTGTTTCCATCAAACAGGAAAGCAAGAATTTGGAGCCTGAGTTTGGTCAAGTTAACTACATGCTAAGCCAAAAGAACCAACAATCTTTGGAGAAATATGACTGAATCCAATACAATAAACCCCAAATAGGAAAAAAGCAAGAAATTCAACCTGTGTGATAGTGTGTCAAGACAACAAATCATAAAGGATCCAGATACCTGATCAAACATCACTCCAATGTCTGTGAGGTGCTTTTGGATGAGATAACAAATCATAAAGGATCCAGATACCTGATCAAACATCACTCCAATGTCTGCAAGGTGCTTCTGGATGAGTTTAATATTTAAATTAATGAAATAAAGGAGATATCCCTCCAGGAAGTAACTGAGCCTTATCAAATTAGCTAAAACCCTGAGAAGCTAACCTTCCCTGGAATGAGAGAGAAATCTTCCTGCCTGACTTCTAGCTAGGACATCAACTTTTTCCTGCCTTTGGACTGGAATCAGACCACCACTTCTTTGGGGTTTTTTTTTTTTTTTTTGGGGGGGGGGGACTTTTAGGTTTGGTTTGTTTGGTGTTTTGGATTTTTGTGTTTTTTTCCATTTTTAATTTTTTTGGGTTTTTGGGGGATTTTTTTGTTTGGTTGGTTGGTTTTGGTTTTTCAAGACTGGTTTTCTCTGTAGCCCTGGCTAACCTGGAACTTGCTTTGTAGACCAGGCTAGTCTCAAACTCGAAGAGATCCTCCTGCCTCTACCACCCTAGTGCTGGGGTTAATCACCTCCCAGCCCAGCCCAGCCCAGCCCATCACCTTCTAGTGGCCTGTCATTTACTAGAGTAGACCCACGTGCTCAGCTCTTCTGATCCTCAGGCCTTACACCTGGACTGGACCTCTACCATCAGCTCTCCTGGGTCTCCACCTTACAAGCTGCAAGCCTTGTCAGCTTCTACAATCCTCTGAACCAATTCCTAGTAATAAATCTACTTATGTTCATACTATTGGTTCTGTTTTACTGAAGAGCCTGGCTAACAGAAATTTTTAATGCTAAAAAATGGAAGACTGCTATTAAAATATATATCTAAAATAAAGAAGTAACTTTAAAACTAGGTACTGAGTGAAACTGGCGAGATTTTGAGATACATACTAGAAAGAGCCCAGAATGCCATAAAGGAACTCTGAGTAAAAACTTAGTCCAGCCTAGCCAAGGCAGGTGGACCTCTGAGTTCAGGCCAGCCTGGTCTACAAAGCAAGTTCCAAGACAGCCAAGGCTACAAAAGGAACTCCTCACCCAAAAACACAAAAAACACATGAGTCCAGTGAGAGCTCATGAAAAGAACAGAGGCACAGTGGAACTCTTTCATCTCAGAAGTCAGTGCATCATCATAAACAGCATGCTGGTAAGAGTTTGAACTGGGAGCACAGCTCGGCAACAGGGTAGTTCACCTAACTTACACAAGCCCTCCCTCCCTTTAGTCCTCAACGTCGCCATAATAAAATTTAAAGACAGGAAAAAATGAAAGTTAAAGGCCAACCTACTGAGTTCTCTGACAGAAACAGTAATAGACTTTTGAAAACTGCAGGAAAGAATTTGGTTGGGGCTGAGCAGTGGTGGTGCACGCCTTTAATCCCAGCGCTCGGGAGACAGAGGCAGGCGGATCTCTCTGAGTTCAAGGCCAGCCTGGTCTACAGAAGGAGTTCCAGGACAGGCGCCAGGGCTACACAGAGAAACTCTGTCTTGAAAAACCAAAAATAAAAAAGAACTTTGTACGGACCTAATGGCACAGGCTTTTGACTCCAGCACTTACAAGCAGGCATCTCTGTGAGCTGGAGGCCAGAGAGTCTACAAAGGGAGTCCAAGCCGGACAGCCAGAACTACAGAATGAGACTCTGTCTCAAAAAAATAAAAAATAAAGGGGGGGAGGGGGGACCAAATCTGGTTGCAGGACTGGAGATGGTTCAGCAATTTAGAACACTTGATGCTCTTGCAGAGGATCCAGCTCAACTCCCAACACCCAAATGATGGCTCACAATCACCTATAACTCCAATTCCAAGGGATCCAAAGTTCTCTTCTAGCCTCTGTGGGCACCAGGCATGCAGCAGGTGGTACACACTCATACATGCAGATAAAACACTCTTACACATAAAATATTTACATACATACAAAATAATTTTTTAGAAAAATAACTTGGTTGTATTCTAGTGCTCTATAAAAATAACAAATTTCAGTATTGAGCTAAAGAGATTCTGAAACAGAATGCTGAGGGTACAAGTTGAGTTCTGACAACTTATGGTAAAGCTGGTAAACTAAAGAAAGGTCAACTACACAAGAAAACCACAGAATCAACTAAGCCATAGGAGCTCACAGAGACGGAACCAACAACCAGGGACCCCACATGGGTCTGATCTAGACCCTCTGCATCTATGTTATGGTTGTGTAACTGGGTCTTCCCGTGGGACCCCTAACAGTGGGACCAGTCTCTGATTCTGTCACCGCTCTTGGGGCCCTTCTCCTCCTGCTGGGTGCCTCGCCCAGCTTAATAGGAGGGAGGTGCCCAGTCTCACTGCAACTTGACAAGCCATGTTTGGTTGATATTCCTGGGAAGCCTGCACTCTTCTGAAGGGAAACAGGGAAGTGGATGGGGGAGAGGGGAGGTGGGGGAGGGACTAGAAGAGGAGGAGGGAGAGGAAACTGTGGTCAGGATGTAAAATATGAGAGAGGAATAAAAAAATCCATATGCTACACCTTGGAAAAAAAGAGAGAGAGAAAGGGATGAAAGAAGAGAGGGAGGGAGGGAGGGAGGGAGGGAGGGCAAGGGGGAAGGAAGGAAAGAATAAAGAGAGGGGAACTAAAGTACTGCTAACCAAAACTTGATGACTTGGAAAATTACTTAGACTATCCACACTGCAAAAAACGAGACAGAATATTTTGAAGAAAGTTATCAAGGGCGTAGTTGAACTATCACTAAAGAGGTATTAATACATGCAGAAACTCACTGCCAACTTCAACTAAAGGAGCTAAAAACAGGACAAAACAAAGAAATCCTGCCTGACTTCTCATATTTCATAGATAGACCCATAAGGTTACTCCTAAGATATCATCAGGACTAATTTCACTTTCAAAAGACCAGACAGCCTTCACCTGGGGCCCCAAGGAGTCCCAGGGACAAGGCTGTTGCCTAGGCTTACAGGAATGCAGTAACCCAGAGGGTCTGCGAAAGAGAAGATAAAACCAAGGATTATCGCTGCATCTTAAAATATAATGCCATTTCTTTGCTGGGTTTTGGACTTGCTTGAGAGCCATTATCCTTCCCTCTCTCTCCCTTAAGATGGAAATGTCTACTCTGAATCTCTACCACTACTGCATGCAGGTTTGTGAGGTTCACAACTATGAAAGAATTTGCCTAAAAATGAATCATCCCTTCAAGCCTTATTTATCTTTGAGTTAGATGAAATTTAAATGCTATCAGTCTTTAGACTTGATAGTAGAATGAATCACTGCTGGGGAAGGGCTGAAACAGAATGGATGTACTTTCAGTTGGCCATGGATAAAATGTCTGGATGTTTAAGGCCCAAATTCTTATGTTGGACCTCTAGTCCTTAGTCACAGCCTTCAGAAGGTAGAGGAAGGGGCACCTCGGAGAGTTCAAGGCCAGCCTGCTCTCCATAGCCAGTTCCAGACCAGCCAGGGCTGCATAGTGAAACTCACTCTTAAAACAAACAAACAAACAAACTTCCAAAGTGATTAAAGTTAAATGATTTAACGAGGTGGTATGGACTCTGTCCTGATCTGACAGGATTAGCATCCTTGTAAGAACAGGGCCCAGAAGGCTCAATCTCTCCTTCCTGAGCACCCAAGAAAAGGCTGTGTGAAGACATAAGGAAGACAGCTATCTGCAAACCAAGAGTCCTCACTAGAAACTACATCAGCACAGAAGCCTCATCATAGACAAACAGGCCCAGGACTCAAAGAAAGCACGGTTCTCCTGTTTAAGCCACTGGGACCATGGTATTACATTAAATCAAATTAAAATATGACCTGCAGACTCAAGAGCAAAGGCACTTAATAGAGATATTCCTCATATACTCCAGATACTGGAATTAATAGACAAGTACTTTAAAGCAGAGTCGAACACCATCTACCTGAAGACAGGTCCTCGTGTGTCTATGAACAAACCTGGTATTTGTTGTTGTTGTTGTTGTTGTTGCTTTGTTATTTGTGACCCAGGCTGACTTCAAACTCAATATACTTCTGCCTCACCCTCTTCATTTTATTTCCAGCACACGCCATGCCACCACAGCTGGCAAATTTTGATCTTAAAATGAAAAAATTCTGCCAGGTTGTTAGCGGTGCATGCCTTTAGTCCTAGCACTCAAGAGGAAGAGACAGGCAGATCTGTGAGTTCAAGGCCAGCCTGGTCTATAGAGTGAGTTCCAGGACAGCCAGGGCTACATAGAGAAACCCTGTCATGAAAAACAAAACAAAACAAAGAAGCCAAGGTTTTGTTTGTTTGTTTTTGTTGTTGTTGCCAGTATTAGTCTGTGCACCGTGCGCATGTCTGGTGCCCATGGAGGCCAGAGGAAGGCTTCAGATCGCCTGTAAGTGGAGTTACAAATGGTTGTGAGCCACCATGTGGGTGCTAGAAACTGGACCTGGGCCCTCTAGATAGTGCTCTTGACCACTGAGCCAAAATGCAAAGTTTTAACAACTAAAAGGAGAAAGGAAGGAGAAGGGAACATCAGGTAGGAACACCACGATGTACCAGCTAGACACATTAGCCTTGCTGCTTTCTCCCCACTCCCCCCCCCCACTGCACTGAAATCTCTAATTATCCCACCCTCCCAGCTGCCCGGACCCCCGCACAGCACGAACCTGGACCTGGAAACTCACCTTGACCTCCTTGGCTCCCTTCTTCCCTTTGACAGTCCCCTCCGAAGGTTTTACTTTCTCATTCTTCTTGACGCTCTCACTCACAGGCTTTTTTCCACTTGATATAACCCCAAAGAATTTCCGAATGTCCTAAAAACAGAAGAGGAGACGTGTAAATATTAAACACATGACATTCTAGTTTCAGTCACTAACAGGACAACTTTACTCAGCTGGTCTAACCCAAGTCACCTCTCCAAATCAAGGCCATCTATATTCAGCAGCATCCTTTTTATAAATAAAAGCCACCTGATAAAATTACCTGAATTAAAAATAAGTTTTCTAGCCGGGCGTGGTGGCGCACGCCTTTAATCCCAGCACTCGGGAGGCAGAGCCAGGCGGATCTCTGTGAGTTCGAGGCCAGCCTGGGCTACC